CAGGAGTGTGTAACATACAGAGTACAGGGGTCAGGAGTGTGTAACATACAGAGTAGAGTGGTCAGGAGTGTGTAACATACAGAGTACAGGGGTCAGGAGTATGTAATGTACAGAATACAGGGGTCAGGAGTGTGTAACATACAGAGTACAAGGGTCAGGAGTATGTAATGTACAGAGTACAGGGGTCAGGAGTGTGTAACATACAGAGTACAGGGTTGAGGAGTGTGTAATATACAGAGCACAGGGGTCAGGAGCGTGTAACATACAGAGTACAGGGGTCAGGAGTGTGTAACATACAGAGTACAGGGGTCAGAAGTGTCTAATGTACAGGGTACAGGGGTCAGGAGTGTGTAACATACAGAGTACAGGGGTCAGGAGTGTGTAACATACAGAGTACAGGGGTCAGGAGTGTGTAACATACAGAGTAGAGTGGTCAGGAGTGTGTAACATACAGAGTAGAGTGGTCAGGAGTGTGTAACATACAGAGTACAGGGGTCAGAAGTGTCTAATGTACAGAGTACAGGGATCAGGAGAGTGTAAGGAACAGAGAAGAGAGGTCAGAAGCATGTAATGTACAGAGTGAAGGGGTCAGGAGTAAAAGTAACAAACAGCTCAGCTAACAGGTTGTAGGGGTCTGGAGTATGTAAGGTACATAATGTAGGGGCCAGGAGTATATACACTCTAGTGCACAGCACCTCCTATAATTCATTCCACCCCCATTCATAATACAGCAGTACTCCCTATGAGGCATTTGGACAACACCCACACACCCACATACAAACACACATATACATTCACATGTTCATACCCACATATATGTACTCACATACTGTACATAAACACAATTGTGACAATAAAGAGATCTGAGGAACCCCAAAGTGTGTGGAGCAGATAGAAGAATCATATTGAACTTAGTGCAGCCCTCATTTTTCCCAAAACACACAAGTTGGTAACACAGACAGATCTATATTTCACGTCTGTTGTGGGCAGACAGAGAAGGTGACACACTTTGATAAGCCACAGACCAGTTTAAGGCACCTTTGACAGAATGCCGACTGCTAAGGCTAGGTTCACATCTGTGCGGGTGGTGTGGCTGCGGATCCTCACAAAAATCTGTGCAACCGCACCACCCGCACAGAGGAATGCGGACCAGCGGGCGGGTGCCATTAGTTCTAATGGCACGCCGCCCGCACTGGAAACCACAACCGCACTGGGAACCGAGGTTCCCGTGCAGGCTGCTTTTTCAGATGAAGTACTGGGACTTCTTCTCTGCGTGTCCCGGGGCACGGGAGTCCATTCAAATGAATGGGCTCTCATGTCCGCGCAAAACATGGCCTGCGGGAACGCGGATATGTGAAATGGGGATAAGAAGGAATGCAGCAGTGTCATAAACCTTCAACAGTAGATTCCTCAAAAGGCTGCTCATGCATCCCTGTCTTGCTGGAGGTGATTGTAGCCATACTAGTTCACTTGCGACAAAAACAACTGAGTACCGTCAGTACTGCTGGGAGCTTAACCCCTCGCCTACCGGGCACTTTTACCTCCTTCCTGTCCAGGCCAATTTTCAGCTTTCAGCACTCTCACACTTTGAATGACAATTGCGCGGTCATGCAACACTGTACCTGTATGAAATTTTTATCATTTTTTTTTTCACACAAATAGAGTTTTCTTTTGGTGGTATTTAATTGCCACTGAGTTTTTTTTTTTTTATTTTTTGCACTGTAAACAAAAAAATAGCAAAAAATGTGAAAAAAAAACCTTTTCCTTTGTGTCTATTATAACATTTTGCAAACAGGTAATGTTTCTCCTTCGCTGATGTGTGTTGATGAGGATGCACTGATAGGCAGCACTGATGGGCACTGATAGGCTGCGCTGATGAGGCGGCACTGGTGGGCATTGATGAGGAGGCACTGATGATGCTGCACTGATATGCAGCAATGATGGGCACTGACAGGCGGCACTGATGGGAAGTGATAGGTGGCACTTATGGGCACTGATGGGCAGCACTGACTGACAGCACTGACTGGTGGCACTGCTGGGCACTGATTGGCTCAACTGCTGGGCAGCACTGATGGATGGCACTACTGGGCACTGATAGGCTCAACTGCTGGGTGGCACTGATGGGCAGCACTGCTGTGCGGCACTGATGGGCACTGATGGGTGGCACTGCTGGGCACTGGTGGGTGGCACTGCTGGGCACTGATGGGTGGCACTGCTGGGCACTGGTGGGTGGCACTACTGGTCACTGATGGGTGTCACTGATGGGTGTCACTGCTGGGCGGCACTGATGATCAGGGCAGATGTCCTCTGTGACATTTGCCAGTTATCGGCAGTACTTTCCTCACGCTGTGACAGCATGAGGAAAGTGCTGCCGATAAGCGGAACCTGTATATAGTTTGTGATCTGCTGTGTCATTTCACTTCTGTATCATCTGTCCTGCTTTTGGCCAGTTTCACACTCCTGGTGTAAAATCCCCTAGTAAAGCCCCAGTCGTGCTCTTTGTCGCTAGTAAATTTCAGCCTAACCTCGCTATTTCAAATTGTCTCAGTGCTGATTGATTTTACCGCAAAGAACCGCCAATTTCAGCATATCGAGCAGCCACCTGTGAACACGGCTGGCTGAGTTGTCAGCACCCGGGGCACCGAACAAGAGATGAAGCATACATGTTCCAGGTGCCTGACACTAGTGTTGGCCATGATGATGGGCTGGTGATCTACCCATTACATGGCCGCGATTGACAGGTAGATTGCAACTGATCTGTTGCCGACACTTGCTTTAACCACTTGCCTACAGGGCACTTATACCCCCTTCCTGCCCAGGTCAATTTTCACCTTTCAGAGCTGTCGCACTGTGAATGACAATTGCGCAGTCATGCAACATTGTACCCATATGAATTTTGTATAATTTTTTTCACACAAATAGGGCTTTCTTTTGGTGATATTTAATCAGCGCTGTGTGTTTTATTTTATTTGTTACACTATAAACAAAAAAAAGAGTAAAACATTTGAAAAAAAAAGTTTTTTTTGTTTCTAATATAAAATTTTGCAAACAGGTAATTTTTCTCCATCATTGATGTGCGTTGATGAGGCTGCACTGATAGACAGCACTGATGGGCACTGATAGGCAGCACTGATGGGCACTGATGAGGTGGCACGAAGAGGCAGCACTGATGGACACTGATAGTCGGCATTGATCGGCAGCACTGATGAGCTGCCACTGAAGATGTGGAACTGATAGGCAGCACTGATGGGAAGCACTGATGGGAAGCACTGCTGGGCACTGATGGGAGGCACTGCTAGGCCGCACTGATGGGTGGCACTGCTGGGCACAGGTGGGTAGCACTGCTGGGCACAGGTGGGCAGTATTTACCCAGTGATCTGCTGTGTTATTGGACAAAGCTGATCACGTGGTAAGAGCCGCTGTGATTGGCCGTTCACCGTATCACGTGATCAGCTGTGTCCATAGGACACAGCGATCTCCGGCAGCACCGGGTGTGTGCTGCTGCGGGTGCGCGGGGGGGCCGTGTTCTGGAATTACGTCCATGGACGCTGTCCCAGAACTAGACAACCGCGCGCTGTAACCGTCCTTTGGCTATAGAGTGGTTGGGAACTGGTTAAAGTCTTTGTGTACTGTATATAAAGAAATTTTTTTTTTTAGTTTTTATGTTTTAGATGGAGTAGGGAAGGATAAAATGCTATCCAGGCAATTGTTCGCTGTCTATGTACCACCAGGGAAGTTTTCCTGGAACAGGTGTCCCCATTGGAAGACTTTCTCTTATCTCTTGTTCTGGGGACAACCTTACATTTTTGTATTTTTCTCTAACTTTTACATTTGGTGACAATGTTCACCGGAACAAACTGAAAGGTGAATCTCCCCAATCAATGATACTGACAGCAATAAAAACTTGACATTAACCTGGGCACCCTGGTCGAAAAAGGCTGCTCTATGCAATGCAGGCAGATCATGGCTGTTGGGAGGCGCTGGCGGGATGCTTCCGGAAACCATCACAGCACCCTGCATCAGTACTCATCTCAAGAGTTCTCAGACCTGATGCAAGCAGTGGGCTGGATTTTGGGAGAGGTTATGCAAATATTAAACACCTTGACGGGTTGACGTCTAGAGGAATTGGAGTTTCTTGGCAGGCTGTACTTACATGCAGACAATCTTAGGTAATACCCTTATGGGGTTCTGAAACTCTGTGGTTGAAAGAACTGAAATCTAATGAAGAAAGGGTGGGCCAGGGACACTGGGGAGGATGTTCTCCAGCCAGGAGTGAAGCAGGACCTGTCTGTCTTTCTTCCACATCTAATGCAGATTGCAAGAAGCTGGAGGGGCCTGTACAACTGTGAATGCTGAAATTAAAATGTTACTAAACCCCGGACCTTGCATTCTCTATATCTGGTCTCCCCGATCTCTGCATTCACTATATCCGATCTCCCCGGACCCTGCATTCACTATATCTGCTCTCCCCGGACCCTGCATTCACTATATCCGGTCTCCCCAGACCCTGCATTCACTATATCCGCTCTCCCCGGACCCTGCATTCACTATATCCGGTCTCCCCGGACCCTGCATTCACTATATCCGGTCTCCCTGGACCCTGCATTCACTATATCCGGTCTCCCCGGACCCTGCATTCACTATATCTGGTCTCCCCGATCTCTGAATTCACTATATCCGGTGTCCCCGGACCCTGTATTCACTATATCTAGTCTCCCCGATCTCTGCATTCACTATATCCGATCTCCCCGGACCCTGCATTCACTATATCCGGTCTCCCTGGACCCTGCATTCACTATATCTGGTTTCCCCGATCTCTGCATTCACTATATCCGGTCTCCCCGGACCCTGCATTCACTATATCTGATCTCCCCGATCTCTGCATTCACTATATCCGGTCTCCCCGGACCCTGCATTCACTATATCTGATCTCCCCGATCTCTGCATTCACTATATCCTCTCTCCCCGGACCCGCATTCACTATATCCGGTCTCCCCGGACCCTGCATTCACTATATCCGGTCTCCCCGGACCCTGCATTCACTATATCCGGTCTCCCCGGACCCTGCATTCACTATATCCGGTCTCCCCGGTCCCTGCATTCACAATATCCGGTCTCCCCGGACCCTGCATTCACTATATCTGGTCTCCCCGGACCCTGCATTCACTATATCCTCTCTCCCAGGACCCTGCATTCACTATATCTGGTCTCCCAGGACCCTGCATTTACTATATCTGATCTCCCAGGACCCTGCATTCACTATATCTGGTCTCCCCGGACCCTGCATTCACTATATCTGGTCTCCCCGGTCCCTGCATTCACTATATCTGGTCTCCTCGATCTCTGCATTCACTATATCCAGTCTCCCCTGACCATGCATTCACTATATCCGGTCTCCCTTGACCCTGCATTCACTATATCCGGTCTCCCCGGACCCTGCATTCACTATATCTGGTCTCCTCAGGCCCTGCATTCACTATATCTGGTCTCCCCAGTCCCTGCATTCACTATGAACCAGCAAACACAAAAATGCTCCTGCGCTTGGGGATGGACTCGATCCAGGCTACAACCACATTAAGAATGTCCTGGAACATGCACACCTTGCTGCCCTCAAATGGACCGGGGAAATCCAAATATACTGAATGGGGAAAGAACAAAAAGAGGGCGCACAGGCCTAGTGCATTACCATAAAAAATGTTTAATAAAAAATAAAGTAGGTTTTGTACTCACAAACGACAATATAGTCAAGGCACATCATAAAAGAACAGCTGGATCAACACCGCGCTGAGTAACAGTCCGCAATAGGGAGTTTAGACATCCAAAAGGCTGACGCGTTTCGAGGACTTGCCTCTTCCTCAGAGCCACTGGCTCTGAGGAAGAGGCAAGTCCTCGAAACGCGTCAGCCTTTTGGATGTCTAAACTCCCTATTGCGGACTGTTACTCAGCGCGGTGTTGATCCAGCTGTTCTTTTATGATGTGCCTTGACTATATTGTCGTTTGTGAGTACAAAACCTACTTTATTTTTTATTAAACATTTTTTATGGTAATGCACTAGGCCTGTGCGCCCTCTTTTTGTTCTTTCCCCATCCTGCATTCACTATATCTGGTCTCCCCAGATCCTGCATTCACTATATCCGGACTTCCTGGTCACTGCATTCACTATATCCAGTCTCCCCGGACCCTGCATTCACTATATCCGCTTTCCCTGGACCCTGTATTTATTATATCTGCTCTCCCCAGGCCCTGCATTCACTATATCTGGTCTCCCCGGACCCTGAATTCACTATATCTGATCTCTCCAGACCCTGCATTCACTATATCTGGTCTACCCGGTCCCTGCATTCACAATATCCGGTCTCCCCAGAACCTGCATTCACTATATCTGGCCTCCCCGGACCCTGCATTCACTATATCCTCTCTCCCAGGACCCTGCATTCACTATATCTGGTCTCCCAGGACCCTGCATTTACTATATCTGATCTCCCAGGACCCTGCATTCACTATATCTGGTCTCCCCGGACCCTGCTTTCACTATATCTGGTCTCTCCAGACCCTGCATTCACTATATCTGGTCTCCACGGTCCCTGCATTCACAATATCCGGTCTCCCCGGAACCTGCATTCACTATATCTGCTCTCCCCAATCCCTGCATTCACTATATCTGGTCTCCCCAGACCCTGCATTCACTATATCCGGTCTTCCTGGTCACTGCATTCACTATATACAGTCTCCCCGGACCCTGCATTCACTATATCCGCTCTCCCTGGACCCTGCATTTATTATATCTGCTCTCCCCGGACCCTGCATTCACTATATCTGGTCTCCCCGGACCCTGAATTCACTATATCTGATCTCTCCAGACCCTGCATTCACTATATCTGGTCTACCCGGTCCCTGCATTCACAATATCCGGTCTCCCCAGAACCTGCATTCACTATATCTGGTCTCCCCGGACCCTGCATTCACTATATCCTCTCTCCCAGGACCCTGCATTCACTATATCTGGTCTCCCAGGACCCTGCATTTACTATATCTGATCTCCCAGGACCCTGCATTCACTATATCTGGTCTCCCCGGACCCTGCATTCACTATATCTGGTCTCTCCAGACCCTGCATTCACTATATCTGGTCTCCACGGTCCCTGCATTCACAATATCCGGTCTCCCCGGAACCTGCATTCACTATATCTGCTCTCCCCAATCCCTGCATTCACTATATCTGGTCTCCCCAGACCCTGCATTCACTATATCCGGTCTTCCTGGTCACTGCATTCACTATATACAGTCTCCCCGGACCCTGCATTCACTATATCCGCTCTCCCTGGACCCTGCATTTATTATATCTGCTCTCCCCGGACCCTGCATTCACTATATCTGGTCTCCCCGGACCCTGAATTCACTATATCTGATCTCTCCAGACCCTGCATTCACTATATCTGGTCTACCCGGTCCCTGCATTCACAATATCCGGTCTCCCCAGAACCTGCATTCACTATATCTGGTCTCCCCGGACCCTGCATTCACTATATCCTCTCTCCCAGGACCCTGCATTCACTATATCTGGTCTCCCAGGACCCTGCATTTACTATATCTGATCTCCCAGGACCCTGCATTCACTATATCTGGTCTCCCCGGACCCCGCATTCACTATATCTGGTGTCCCCAGACCCTGCATTCACTATATCTGGTCTCCCCGGACCCTGCATTCACTATATCCGGACTCCCAGGACCCTGCATTCACTATATCCGGTCTCCCAGGACCCTGCATTCACTATATCTGCTCTCCCCGGACCCTGCATTCACTATATCCTCTTTCCCAGGACCCTGCATTCACTATATCTGGTCTCCCCAGACCCCGCATTCTCTATATCTGGTCTCCCCGGACCCTGCATTCACTCTGTCTGGTCTACCCGGACCCCGCATTCACTATATCTGATCTCCCAGGACCCTGCATTCACAATATCTGGTCTACCCGGACCCCGCATTCACTATATCTGGTCTACCCGGACCCCGCATTCACTATATCTGGTCTCCCGGAACCCGAATTCACAATATCCAGTCTCCCCGGACCCTGCAATCCTATATACGCTCTCCCCAGACCCTGCATTCACTATATCTGGTCTCCCCAGACCCTGCATTCACTATAACCGGACTCCCAGGACCCTGCAATCACTATATCCGGACTCCCAGGACCCTGCATTTACTATATCTGGTCTCCCCAGACCCTGCATTCACTATATCTGGTCTCCCCCCAGAACCTGCATTCACTATATCCGGTCTCCCCAGACCCTGCATTCACTATAACTGATCTCCCACAGTACACAGAACATGGAAATGCAATTATTTTAGTAAACATAAACTGCTAAATACCTTTTCTCACCAGCAGTACATAGAAGTCTTGTGGCTTTTATCAGTGTCCAGCAGAGCACTGGTCAAAGCTTGTAGGAGGAGTTTTTATTCTCCTCTGATTGTCCTATGAGGCTGCATAACCCTTGACCCTCTGTCTGGACAGTGTTGATTAGGGCTGTTCACATGCACCCTCTGAAGAAAAGAAAACTCTCTAGCAATACACACTAACCTGAGCATGTGCAGAGTGCCTCCTAGAGCACTGTACTATCAGCAGATGGATTGGGGACAGTAGAAGAACGGGAGGATCAGAGATGACAGGCTCAAACAGCCTTTTATACAGTGCAGAGGATTAACCCCTTAGGTTCCACAGTGAGTATAACAAGCATGCTTTACTGCATATACAGACTGATTGTACTGTTGTGGGTTTAGTAACACTTTAAGGCTAGATTGTCAGTTACGTTATCCGAGACGTTCGTAAACCGAGGTACAGCTGTGTTAGATCAATGATGTCAATGGCATGTGCAGTGGTCACCTAAACAAGAATTGAGGGGGACTCAAGTTTACCGTCAGGGGCAAGGTTCAAGCCACCTTGGTGTCATTCCATGCCTTGGGTCTTCTCATGCTTCAGATGAATTCTGTGACCTCCTGCAGACAACCTTTTGTCAACAGTCTGCTCTTCACCCTTTATTTATTTATTGTATGTTTACCAAAGTGCTATTTTTGTGATATTACCCCTCGTCCATGTGAACCGTCAGCACTGCTCTGGTTATCTGGGTGCGGAATGATCGTACTGCTGACATGGTGACCCGTCAGACGCGGCCCATACCAGCGCAAGCGGAGCAGATAGATGTTTTCCTAGAAAGAAGATGGAACGATTGAAGTTTGCCCATCAGAACTGTACGAAGTGCTGCCTAGTAACAGAGGTCAGGGGTCGGGCGGTTGAGAAGTGGGAATGTGCTGGGTGACACAAGACATGTTGGCAAGGCCCGACACTGAGTCACCATGCAGACATGTGAATCCGAGGTACTAGGAGAATGCACAGGAAGGTTGGCGGGTGAGCAGGACGCAGCTGACACTGCAGAAGGTGTCGATCTTGTCAGAGCTCCAAGAAGATGGAAGAGCGAAAAACTGAGGTGGAATACGGATACGATAAATCCAGGGTTAAATCCAATGTCAATTTAATTATATCATCTTCTGATCTGAAACAGGACAACGTGACCCTTACCCAGATCTGATTACTCTACCTTGTGCACTGCTGAAAAGCTGAAACAAGGTGCCTACAAATGATCTGTCAAACCTTTCTGCATGGACGTTGCCAAGAGATAAATTGGGAAACCAATTACTGTTCAACGAGATAGGCCAACACCAGGACCGTCTTCAGGTAGAGAAGGTATGAAACCAAGAACCAAGTTCCTCTTTATATGACCTAGTTTGTGTAACCCCGGAGTTCCCAATTAATGATAGAAGCTGTACCTACAGATTATTATACAGGATTTATATAGCGTCAACAGTTTGCGCAGCATTTTACAATTTAAGGGAGACAGTACAATTACAATACATTTCAGTCCAGAAGGAATAGGAGGGCCCGGCTCGTGGAGCTTACAATCTAAAGGAAGGGGGAGGTGATACAAAAGGTGATAGCTGCGGGGGATGATCTGGTGGAGGTCATTCAAGTACAGTTCTTAGGTGGAGGTGGGGTAGGCTTCCCTGAAGAAGTGAGTTTTCAAAGATCGCCTAAAGGCATACAGGATGGGGGCTGACCGGAACATACTTTGGTAGAGAGTCCCAGAGGAAGGGAGAGGCTCTGGAGAAGTTCTGGAGGCGAGCGTGGGAGGAGGTGACGAGGGAGCTAGAGAGGAGGATATCATGGGAGGAGCGGAGTGGGCGATTTGGGTGGAATCTGTGGATGAGGTTGGTGATGTAGCTAGGGGCAGTGTTGTGGATGGCTTTGTATGTTGTTGTTAGTATTTTGAATTTTTATACGTTGGGTTAGTGGAAGCCAGTGAAGGGATTGGCAGAGAGGGGCAGCAGTCGCTGATCGGTTGATAAGGTGGATGAGTCTAGCAGCAGCATTCATTATAGACTGAAGGGGGGATAGCCTGTGTAACGGTAGACCAGTGAGGAGGGAGTTGCAGTAATCAAGGCGGGATATAACCAAGGCATGGATAAGTTGTTTTGTGGTGTCATTGGTCAGGAAGGGACGGATTTTGGAAATGTTCTGGAGGTTGAGGTGGCAGGATTTAGCCAGTGAGTGGATGTGGGGCCCAAAGGAGAGGTCAGAGTCTAGGATTACACCTAGCACCCTGGCATGAGGGGAAGGACCAATGGTTGTGCTGTCGATCTTCATGGTAAAGTCATGAGTGGGGGATCTGGGAGGAGGAAATATTACAAGCTAGGTTTTGGAAAGATTGAGTTTAAGGTAGTGATGTGACATCCATGCTGATATGTCGCTTAGTAGATTTGTGATACGTGAGGAGATTGAGGGGGTGAGCTGGGGAGTGGAGAGATAGATCTGGGTGTCATAAGCATAGAGGTGGTATTGGAAGCCATGGAAGGTTATCAGTTGGCCCAGAGAGGAGGTATAGAGAGAGAAAAGGAGGGGCCCAAGAACAGAGCCTTGGGGTACCCCAACGGAAAGAGGGAGAGGAGCAGAGGAGGAAGAGTTGTATGTGACACTGAAAGTATGCTGAGAAAGGTAAGAGGAGAAACAGGAAAGAGCAGAGTCACAGAGGCTGATGGAGTAGAGTTTACAGATACAGTATATGCTGCTTGGGAGATTCCTGTCCGTATCAGTAAGGATGAGCTTGGCTTCGATCTGAGGCAATGTCTGGCAGAACCCGGAAGGAAGATGTCAGTGTCATCCCGCAACTGCATGTTCACCAAGGAGCAAGGTTGCTCAAGATATCACTGACATAATATGACCACATGGCCATGTTATGGAAAGGTAATTGATCCAACATGCCATGTGGCTATATTACATCAATCATGTCAATGGCATGTGCAGTGGCTCACTGAGTCAGCACTGGGAGCAAACCCAAGCCAACCCTAGCAGTCACCTAAACAAGAATTGAGGGGGGCAAAAATACAAAAAACTATGGACTCATGGATCGGGGTAGGGTTATATGAATATGCCTGGGAGGTGTTCCCAGCAGCTTTTGCCAATTTTCAATGACCTGAAATGAGCAGCCTATAACCCAGTCTCTATGAATATCCGGCGTGTGCCCTGTACTGTACAATGACGATATACACATATATTGCTCCTATAACTAGTGGGTGAAACATGTCCAGGTGTGGAGTCACACATCATGGGGAGAGAATGTCTGTCTGACCTAATCTGGCATCAATAAAGCCTGCAAAGTGTGGCTTATGTGTTTGAATACACTTTTATTAGTATCGTAGGAAGGGGTTAGAACTACTGTCAGGTTTGTATTTCTGTGTGTATTGCTTCTGGGAGAAGGCTGGCACCCAGACAGGAAGTCAGATGAAATTGCTCCCAACTGTGCATAAGGTTTGAATCCTGTTCTATGAAAACAGCAAGACGAATGCGCAATTTCACCTATAGCAGTCACCTTTACCCTAAGGCTGGTATGTCTACAAGTACTTGGATGCCCCCAGGACCTAAGGTGCAAGGCACTATTCACAGAACTGGGATGCTCCCCAGCAGCTCAAGAGAGAGGGTTCACTTACCGTAATAAATGGCTCCAGGCTGTGGAGTGGTTTAGGTAAGGTGTGGTACACTCGGACGATCAGAACCGGTGACTAGCCAGACACCAAGCAGACATTAGCAAAGTCCATATCAAGGCAAAGTGCAGGGCAAGCTACAGTCAAAGCATATCTGTTATCCAGGCAGAGGTCAGGGCAGGTTGTGGTCAAGGAATAATCCATATCCAGGTAGGAGGTCAGGGCAGGCTGCCGTCAAAGAATAATCCAGGCAACAGGTCAAGACAGGCTGCAGTCAAAGAATAATCCATATCCAGGGAACATGTCAAGACAGGCTGCGGTCAAAGAATAATCTATATATAGGCAAGAGGTCAGGGCAGGCTATGGACAAAGAATAATCCATATCCAGGAGACATGTCAAGACAGGCTGCGGTCAAAGAATAATCTATATATAGGCAAGAGGTCAGAGCAGGCTGCGATCAAAGAATAATCCATATCCAGGCAACATGTCAAGACAGGTTGTGGTCAAAGAATAATCTATATATAGGCAAGAGGTCAGAGCAGGCTGCGATCAAAGAATAATCCATATCCAGGCAACATGTCAAGACAGGTTGTGGTCAAAGAATAATCTTCATATAGGCAAGAGGTCAGAGCAGGCTGCGATCAAAGAATTATTATCATACAGTATTTATATAGCGCTAAAAGGTTTGCTCAGCGCTGTACATTATAGTGGAGGACAGTACATGAGACAATACAGTAACAAAGCAAAACACGAGGGGGTCAAGAGACCTGCTCTTTCGAGCTTACAATCTAGGAGAATCTATATCCACGACACGTCAAGACAGGCTCCAGTTAAAGAATAATCTATATATAGGCAAAAGGTCAGGGCAGGCTGTGCTCAAAGAATAATCCATATCCAGGCAAGAGGTCAGGGCAGGCTGCGATCAAAGAATAATTAATATCCAGGCAACATGTCAAGACAGGCTCTGGTCAAAGAATAATCTATATATAGTCAAGAGATCAGGGCAGGCTGCGATCAAAGAATAATTCATATCCAGGCAACATCTCAAGACAGGCTGTGCTCAAACAATAATCCATATCTAGGCAAGAGATCAGAGCAGGCTGCGGTCAAAGAATAATCCATATCCAGGCAATATGTCTAGACAGCTCCAGTCAAAGAATTATCCATATCCAGACAACAGGTCAAGACAGGCTGTGCTCAATGAATAGTCCATATCCAGGAAAGAGGTCAGGGCAGACTGCGGACAAAGAATAATCCATACCCAGGCAACATGTCAAGACATGCTGCGGTCAAAGAATAATCTATATATAGGCAAGAGGTCAAGACAGGCTGCCGTCAAAGAATAATCAATATCCAGGGAACATGTCAAGACAGGCTGTGCTCAAAGAATACTGTAATCCATATCCAGGCAAGAGGTCAGGGCAGGTTGTGGTCAAAGAATAATCAATATCCAGGCAACATGTCAAGACAGGCTGCAGTCAAAGAATAATTTATATATATAGGCAAGAGGTCAGAGCAAGCTGAGGTCAAAGAATAAGTAAGAAGAAATGATAATCAGTGTGGGTTCCAGACGTCATCTTGAGGAGTACGTGTATGCCGGCCGGCTTCCACATCTGTCTCCCTCCTGTTACCATGCTTGTTTTAGCGCAGACGTGGATGTCAGGCTCCTGTCACAGCCGTTCCTTACTGGATATCACACTCATGCCTGTTTTACTCCTTGAATATGTGAGTGTCAGGGCAGGCTGTGGTCAAAGAATAATCCATATCCAGGCAAGAGGTCAGGGCAGGCTGTGGTCAAAGAATAATCAGTTTCCAGGCAATATGTCAAGACAGGCTGCAGTCAAAGATTAATCTATATTTAGGCAAGAGGTCAGGGCAGGCTGCGGTCAAAGAATAATCCATATCCAGGCAAAAGGTCAGTAACAGGTGTAAGCAGGTTGAGGTAAAATAAGACACATAGTCCAAGAGCAAAGTAGCTGAATGCTATCACAAGCCCAGGGCCCTTAACTTGTGATGCTCAAACAGAGTGCCATAGAACCACAGCCAATCAAAGTGGGGGAGTCAAAGCAGATGGAGCTAACTTGATGCCTGGCAACAAGATGTCTCCTGAGAGCAGTGCCACTGCCACTCAGATGGAGCTAACCTGATGCCTGGCTACAAGGATGCCCCCTGAGAGCAGTGCCACTGCCACTCAGATGGAGCTAACCTGATGACTGGCTACAAGGATGCCCCCTGAGAGCAGTGCCACTGCCACTCAATAGGAGTGGAATGGGCATTGCTGTGAGAGCCAGGCCTGAGCCAGGCAACTTCCAACTTCCGGGCTGACCCAGGCAACTTCCAACTTACAGGCCAAGCCAGGCAACTTCCAACTTAAAGGCCAAGCCAGGCAACGTCCAACTTACGGGCCGAGCCAGACAACTTCCAACTTACAGGCCAAGCCAGGCAACGTTCAACTTACAGGCCGAGCCGGGCAACTTCCAACTTACAGGCTAAGCCAGACAACTTCCAACTTACAGGCCAAGCCAGACAACTTCCAACTTACAGGCCAAGCCAGGCAACTTCCAACTTACAGGCCAAGCCAGACAACTTCCAACTTACAGGCCAAGCCAGACAACTTCCAACTTACAGGCCAAGCCAGGCAACTTCCAACTTACGGTTGAGCCGTTAAGCATTACCCCCTGGACACATACTACCCCAGGTAAAAGTACTGCTCAGTGAATTGTCCAGCAGCAGCTTTTGGCTTCTCATAGACTTTTATAGGCTGCCAACAGAAAGGCTGAGCAGTGTGCTTGTGCCTTCTGCCCGTACCTAAATACCAAAACTTCATGCACTGGAGCAAAAGGCTCATTGTGCATGGGACCTAATGGTACAGAAATGCATTCGTTTTTGTCTTTTATACAGTGCTGGATTAAACTCTGTGGAGGCCCCTATGCAGATGAAACCTTGGGGCCCCCCTCTCCGGTTCCTGGATGTTCCTTGTGTGCACGCTCCAGTGGGATAACATTGAACTAAGCAGTGTGCGTGTCGCCTCCTAGATGGAGATGACCGCTGCTACTGTACATTATACATATAAACGTTGCACCAAATTTATTTTGCAAACTGACAGCTGAAAGAAGATGAGCTTTTAAGAGACAAACTGTAATGTGAGTGTCTATGGTACTTTAACCTCTTCACGCCGGCCACACGCAAATGTGCGGCCTCCCGGCGTTTGGGCCTAGACGCCGAGCGGCCACACATTTGCGTTCTATTAAATAAGGACATATGTGCCGAGAGCGTGCGCCCTGCGCGCTCCCAGCACACATGTCTGGTACTAACGGAAAGGTCCCGATCTCCTCTTTCGATCGGGACCTTTTCCAATCATGTGACCACCGTGGTCACATGACCCTAAACCTCGCCTCCCGGCTTCTGAAACTCTTAAAGGGTCAGGAGGCGCCAACGTCAAGGGGTTAAGTTGTTAATGGGTACATTACAATAATACAGCGTTTTCTATATAGAGTCTTTAATGTAAAATATTAATTTCTTTGAGATGATTCATTTCTTCTATTTTTTTGCAAACAATTTAAGAAAGCTTCCTTGTAATTTTCTTTCAAGATCAAATCAATATTGTTTTGATTCCCTGTTGTTTAGGCCTTTAAAGAATGTGGAGCCCATAGGTTGGTGACCACTCTGTCTATTTTGGTAATCTGGAACTGCTTTTATGGAGTTCTGAAGAAGAGGTGTGAACCCAATTTAGCAGTGGTGTCGCTATGTGGGTGCGGGGGGTGAACAGCACACCCAAGTGACATCCGCTAGAGGGGTGACACCAGAGTTGCCAACTGTCCGTAAAATAAACAAAAAAAAATGCGGGGTGACTTTGGAACTGTGCATGTGCAGTTTCAAAGCTGACTGGGCTCAGACATACTCGGCCATTTCGGAGCTCACATTCCACAGGCAACGCACATCCAGCATCCTCCTGTTAGCTTCTTGCCACACTTCTGATATCACTTTCGGTTCAACGGCAGCAGCGTCCCCCAGGACTGCTAGGTGACTCCATTCACCTGTTTCTGGTGGTCGTCGGTGTGTGTATTCCATCTGCACCATGTGAGAACCCCAGGGAACATAGCTGTCAGGTCTTGGCATGGGGTCAGTCATCCTCCATCCCAGGCTCTGCAGAAGTCCATTTGTGTCTTTTGCACAGGAATTTGACAGTCATGATCAGGGGCGGACTGACAACTCATGGGGCCCCCGGGCAATAGGGGATCATGGGGCCTCTGTGTCCTTGCCCAAACTCAAAAAAGCCTATGAAAAAGGTACCGGGGCATCTCATGGGGCCCCCTACTGACCCCGGGCCCTCGGGCAGTGCCCGAGTTTCCAAATGGTCAGTCCGCCCCTGGTCATGATTTTACTGGATTGACAATAAATGTGTCTTTTCTTTTAATTTACCTAGGAATTACTTTTTATTGCTGATCCTTTGGACTATCATGCATTGTTATTAATTTGATTGACTTATAGGTGCTCCATGAAGATTTGTGTTTTTTTCCACAGTCTCTAACCATCACGTGTATCATGTCTGTAGTCTCTGACCATCTCTTGTATTGTGTCTGCAGTCTCTAACTATCTCTTGTATCATGTCTGCAGTCTCTAACCATCTCTTGTGTCATGTCTGTAGTCTCTGACCATCTCTTGTATTATGTGTGCAGTCTCTAACCATCTCTTGTATCATGTCCACTATCTCTGGCTATCTCCTGTATCATGTCCACAGTCTCTAACCATCTCTTGTATCATGTCCGCAGTCTCTAACCATCTCTTGTATCATGTCCGCAGTCTCTAACCATCTCTTGTGTCATGTCCGCAGTCTCTAACCATCTCTTGTGTCATGTCTTCAGTCTCTAACCATCTCTTGTATCATGTCCGCAGTCTCTAACCATCTCTTGTGTCATGTCTTCAGTCTCTAACCATCTCTTGTATCATGTCCGCAGTCTCTAACCATCTCTTGTGTCATGTCTTCAGTCTCTAACCATCTCTCCTGTATCATGTCCACAGTCTCTAACCATCTCTTGTATCATGTCCGCAGTCTCTAACCATCTCTTGTATCATGTCCACAGTCTCTAACCATCTCTTGTATCATGTCCGCAGTCTCTAACCATCTCTTGTATCATGTCCGCAGTCTCTAACCATCTCTTGTATCATGTCCACAGTCTCTAACCATCTCTTGTGTCATGTCCGCAGTCTCTAACCATCTCTTGTGTCATGTCTTCAGTCTCTAACCATCTCTTGTATCATGTCTGCAGTCTCTGACCATCGCTTGTACCATGTCCGCAGTCTCTAACCATCTCTTGTGTCATGTCTTCAGTCTCTAACCATCTCTTGTATCATGTCTGCAGTCTCTGACCATCTCTTGTACCATGTCCTCAGTCTCTGACCATCTCTTGTATTATGTCCACAGTCTCTAACCATCTCTTGTATCATGTCTGCAGCCTTTAACCATCTCTTGTATCATGTCTGCAGTCCCTAACCATTTCTTATATCATGTCCACTATCTCTGACCATCACCTGTATCATGCCCACTATCTCTGGCTATCTCTTGTATCATGTCCACAGTCTCTAACCATCTCTTGTGTCATGTCTGCAGTCTCTAACCATCACTTGTATCATGTCTGCAGTCTCTGACCATCTCTTGTATCATGTCCTCAGTCTCTGACCATCTCTTGTATCATGTCCACAGTCTCTGACCATCTCTTGTATCATATCTACAGCCTTTAACTATCTCTTGTATCATGTCTGCAGTCCCTAACCATTTCTTATATCATGTCCACTATCTCTGACTATCTCCTGTATCATGTCCACTATCTCTGGCTATCTCTTGTATTGTGTCCGCAGTCTCTGACCATCTCTTCTATCATGTTTGCAGTCTCTGACCCTCTCTTGTATCATGTCTGCAGTCTCTAGCCATCTCTTGTATCATGTCCACTATCTCTGGCTATCTCCTGTATCATGTCCACAGTCTATAACCATCTCTTGTATCATGTCCACAGTCTATAACCATCTCTTGTATCATGTCTGCAGCCTTTAACCATCTCTTGTATGTATCATGTCCACTATCTCTGACCATCTCCTGTATCATGTCCACTATCTCTGGCTATCTCTTCTATCCTGTCCACAGTCTCTGACCATCTCTTGTATCATGCCCACTATCTCTGGCTATCTGGAAACCATGTTTTACCCTACTAGGTGACACCAACCCTAGTAACACCACTGCAATTTAGTACACTTCAGGTCTTCCCTTTCTATCCTCCCCGCCATCGCTCTAATTGGCCTATTATGCCAGGGGGTTAGAAGGTCTTCCTGATCATGTGACCACCATGATTGGTTGTTTCTGTAGTCATAGTTACATAGTTATTCTGGCTGAAAAAAGACAAAAGTCCATCCAGTTCAACTAAAAAAAAAAAGTTATAATCCTACACCCACAGTTGATCCAGAGGAAGGAAAAAAACACAGCAAAGCATGATCCAATTTGCTCCTGCAGGGGAAACAATTCCTTCCTGATCCCCCGAGAGGCAATCGGATATTCCCTGGATCAACTTTACCTCTAAATGTTATATCCAGTTATATTCTGTGTATCCAAGAAAGAATCCAGGACTTTCCTACAGCAATCCACTGAGCTGGCCAGAGCCAACTCTTGAGGGAGTCTAGTCCACATTTTCACAGCTTACTGTGAAGAAACCTTTCCGTGTTTGGAGATTAAATCTCTTTTCCCCCAGACGTAAAGAGTGCCCCCTTGTCCTCTGTGATGACCTCAGGGTGAATAACTCTACACCGAGTTCACTATATGAACCACTGATGTATTTATACATGGAGATCATATCCCCCCTTATGTATTATACATGGAGATCATATCCCCCCTTATATATTATACATGGTGATCATATCCCCCTTATGTATTATACATGGAGATCATATCCCCCCCTTATGTATTATACATGGAGATCATATCCCCCCTTATATATTATACATGGAGATCATATCCCCCCTTATGTATTATACATGGAGATCATATCCCCCCTTATGTATTATACATGGAGATCATATCCCCCTTATGTATTATACATGGAGATCATATCCCCCCTTATGTATTATACATGGAGATCATATCCCCCCTTATGTATTATACATGGAGATCATATCCCCCTTATGTATTATACATGGAGATCATATCCCCCCTTATGTATTATACATGGAGATCATATCCCCCTTATGTATTATACATGGAGATCATATCCCCCTTATATATTATACATGGAGATCATATCCCCCCTTATGTATTATACATGGAGATCATATCCCCCCTTATGTATTATACATGGAGATCATATCCCCCTTATGTATTATACATGGAGATCATATCCCCCCTTATGTATTATACATGGAGATCATATCCCCCTTATGTATTATACATGGAGATCATATCCCCCCTTATGTATTATACATGGAGATCATATCCCCCTTATGTATTATACATGGAGATTATATCCCCCTTTATGTATTATACATGGAGATCATATCCCCCCTTATGTATTATACATGGTGATCATAACCCCCCTTATGTATTATACATGGTGAGTGATCATAACCCCCCTTATGTATTATACATGGAGATCATATCCCCCTTATGTATTATACATGGAGATAATATCCCCCCTTAATCTCCTCTTCTCAAGAGAATAAATTCAGTTCCTCTAATCTTTCCTCATAGCTGATCTCCTCCATGCCTCTTATCAGTTTAGTTGCCCTTTTCTGTACTTTCTCCAGTTCCCCAATGTTCTTTTTGTGAATTGGTGCCCAAAACTGAACTGCATATTCCAGATGAGGTGTTACTAATGATTTGTACCGGGGGAAATGATATCTCTCTCTCTGGAGTCTATACCTCTTTTAATACGAGAGAGGATTTTGCTCGCTTTAGAACCCGCAGCTTGGCATTGCTGCCATTATTAAGCTTGTGATCTACCAGAACTCCCAGATCCTTCTCCACCATTGATTCCCCCAGTTGTACCCCCCCTAATATGTATGATGCATGCATATTCTTAGCCCCCAAGTACAGAACCTTACATTTATCAACATTAAACCTCATTTACCACATAGTCCCCCAATTACACAGAGCATTGAGGACGGCTTGTAAGTTGGAGACATCCTGTAAGGACATTATTCCACGGCACAGCTTGGTGTCACCTGCAAAGACTGAAATGGAATTTATAATCCCAGACCCTATATTGTTTATAAATATATTAAAACGTAAGGGTCCCAACACTGAACCTTGGGGTACACCACTGACACCTCTAGACCATTCAGAGTATGAATCATTAACCACTACTCTCTGAATACCATCTTTTAGCCAGTTTTCTATCCATTTACATACAGATTTTTCCAAGCCTGTAGACTTTACCTTACACATTAGCCGTGTGTGGGGAACTGTGTCAGACGCTTTTGCAAAATCCAAGTATACCATCTCCACCGCCACCCCTCTGTCCAAGTATACCATGTCCACCACCAGCCCTCTGTCCAAGTATACCACGTTCACCGCCACCCCTCTGTCCAAGTATACCACATCCATAGCCACCCCTCTGTCCAAGTATACCACGTCCACCACCACCCCTCTATTCAAGTATACCATGTCCAGAGCCACCCCTCTATTCAAGTATACCATGTCCAGAGCCACCCCTCTGTCCAAGTATACCACGTCCACAGCCACCCCTCTATCCAACTATACCATGCTCCTTTGTATAAACAGAGCTGAAGAAGGTATTTAATAAATTTGCCTTCTCTTTGTCCCCAGTCACCCACTCTAGATTATTTTGTAAAGGGCCTACATGCTCGGACCGGATCTTTTTACTATTAATATACATATTTGAAGAATTTTTGGGGGTTTGTAGTGCTATCTTTTGCAATCTGTCATTTGTTTTCAATTTTCAATCCTATTCACATATTCTGTTTCATTCTTTGTAATGTTTAAATGATGATAGCGTCTCCTTCATTTTTATACTTTATTAATACTCTCAGACGATCAGGAACCAGCGGGATTGACCGATCATCTGAGCCCTGATTATTATGGACTAATTTTGCTTTTTTATCCTAGCTAAAATATACTGAAACCGACTGACTTTGATCCTAAGTAAAAATGCTTTTTGAAAAAAAAAATTCTACCTAAAATATACTGAACCCAACTGTTGACCCTGACATTGACCCAGATCTAATCGTGATGTAGATATTTTTTTCTTTTTTTTCCTTTATTTTTTACGCATACCGTATTTGTCGCTCCATAAGACGCACTTTTTTCCCCCCAAAAAAGGGGGGAAAATGTCAGTGTGCTTCTTATGGAGCGAATATGGAGCGGCCGGTCCGGTATTTCCACCGCCGCCGTGTCAGAATACCGGACTGGCTGATCAGCTCTGCAGCAGGACCTTACCTGTTCCTCGGTCCATTGCTGCGCAGTCTTCCCTCGCCGGCTTCTTTAATGTGGGCACCAGGCTGACAGAGTAGCGCTGCACTTTGTGAATGGTACGGCGTCTTCTGGGACACATGACAGGTCCCAGAAGATGGCGGACCAATCACAAAGTGCAGCGCTTCTTGTGCATGCGCACTGGGCACCCGGCTGTCAGCCGGGTGCCCACACTACTCTCCCTCTCCCTCTCTACCCAGTGCATGCGCACTGGGCACCCGGCTGTCAGCCGGGTGCCCACACTACTCTCCCTCTCCCTCTCTACTGGCACCTTCCCCTCCACTCTGAAACATGCACTGCTCACACCTATACTTAACCTCCCTGGAGGTATTCCCGAGTGTAGCTCGGGGTAAAGTTTCAGTACCACAAGCGGTAACCCTGAGCTACACTCGGGAATACACTGCAGCGCTGCTCTGGTATCCCTTGACCACTTACCTTGTCCTGCGCTCCCGCGATGTCCCCCCTGCAGAGTCTCCAGCCATCTCCTCCGACCGATGCCGGCATCCATCTTCCGGGTTCCATTCCTTGCAAGCGTCGGGGGACGTACGGCGGACGGAACCGGCAGGAAATTCAAAAATGTAAAAATGAGACATTCACTAAAATCTGATAGTATTCCATTCCTGTATCAAACCATTTCACATACATTTTGTCCCGAGTGCTTTGTCCGGCGCCCTGCCTGCATTTTTACTGTTCTTTCTGCCTGGAAACTGAGAAACGTCCATGGCGTCCAAAAAGTGTCCCTTTAGGTCAAAAGCGGGTTTAGATCAGCTAGAGAACAGCGATAGTAAATCAGAACCACTTGCAGAATTGAGTGATAATGATTCGTGGGGGAAATTCCTCATCAGACACTGAAAACGATTTTGAGACAGAGCTCAGTGATGTGCGAACTTGGAGCTATATTTCACATTTCAGTGTTTTTGGTTTGATTATATTATTGAATTAAATGTATTATTATTATTTTTTATGATTATTTATTATATTATAATTTATTATTTCATGTTTCAAGTTTTATCCTACCCGGGATGTTTACTAGACTCTTGTTTGGACAGATTTCAGTGAGTTATTCTTAAGGATTAAAGGCCTACAATAAAAAAAACAACATATTTCCATGCAAAAAAAATGTACCGCTTTGAGCACAGAAATACTGACATAATCAGACCGCTAGGGTGGTTAAAAAGCCCACCCTGGACCCCACCAACCTGAACAACTTAAGACCCATCTCCCTGTTCCCGTTTAGCTCTAAACGCTATTACAATGCTTAGCCTATAATCATCTGAGCTCCTACCTCACTGACAACAACCTTCCTGACCTCTTACAATCTGGCTTTTGCTTACTGTACTCCACTGAAACTGCTCTACTAAAACTCTCTAATGACTTACTAACTGCTAAAACCAATGGCCACTACTCCGTACTCTTACTACTTGACCTCTCTGGGGCTTTTGATATTGTTGATAATCCCCTCCTCCTCAAAAAATCCACTCTCCTGGCCTCTGAGACTCTGCTCTCTTTTGGTTCTCCTCCTAAACATGACAGCGCTCCTTCAGTGTTACCTATAACTCTGTCTCCTCCTCTCCACTTCCTCTTTCTGTAGGGGTCCCTCAAGGTTCTGTCCTTGGACCCCTTCTCTTCTCCATCTACACCACCTCCCTTGGACACTTGATAAACTCCCATGGCTTTAAGTACCATCTCTATGCTGATGACACACAAATCTATCTTTCTACTTCTCACCTCACCCCTTCAGTCTCCTCTCGCATTACCAACTTACTAACTGATATATCAGCATGGATGTCACTCCACTTCCTCAAACTTAAGACTGAGCTCATACTATTCCCTCCAGCCTGTGTCCCCTCCCCTGACTTCTCCATCAGGATCAATAATACAACCATCAGTCCCTCCCCTCATGCCAGGGTTCTAGGTATAATCCTGGACTCTGATTTGTCCTTTCAGCCCCAAATCCAATCGCTGTCCAAATCTTGTAGACTTCACCTCCACAACATCTCCAAGATACGGCCGTTCCTAACCCCGGAAACCACTAAGCAACTTATTCACTCCCTGGTTATCTCTCGCCTTGACTATTGTAACTCCCTCCTCATTGACTTACCTCATCGCAGGCTATCCCTTCTTAATTTTTATTGTGAATGCTGCTGCCAGACTCATCCACCTTACCAACTGTTCCATGTCTACCATTCCTCCACTGGCTTCATGAATAAAATTCAAAACATTAACAGTAACATATAAAGCCATTTATAACGCCCCAAATTACATCACCAATCTTTTCTCCAAATATCATCCAAACCGTTCTCTTTGCTCCTCCCATGACCTCCTGCTCTCTAGCTTCCTTGTCTCCTCCTCTGAGTCTCCAGGACTTCCTCAGAACCTCCCCCATCCTCTGGAACTTTCTACTCCAATCTGTCTATCACCTACTCTGCCTACTTTTAGGCAATCCCTGAAATCATACAGTCAGGTCCATAAATATTGGGACATTGACACAATTCTAACATTTTTGGCTCTATACACCACCACAATGGATTTGAAATGAAACAAACAAGATGTGCTTTAACTGCAGACTGTCAGCTTTAATTTGAGGTAATTTACATCCAAATCAAGTGAACGGTGTAGGAATTACAACAGTTTGCATATGTGCCTCCCACTTGTTAAGGGACCAAAAGTAATGGGACAGTTGGCTTCTCAGCTGTTCCATGGCCATGTATGTGTTATTCCCTCATTATCCCAATTACAATGAGCAGATAAAAGGCCCAGAGTTCATTTCAAGTGTGCTATTTGCATTTGGAATCTGTTGCTGTCAACTCTCAAGATGAGATCCAAAGAGCTGTCACTATCAGTGAAGCAAGCCATCATTAGGCTGAAAAAACAAAACAAACCCATCAGAGAGATAGCAAAAACATTAGGCGTGGCCAGAACAACTGTTTGGAACATCCTTAAAAAGAAGGAACGCACCGGTGAGCTCAGCAACACCAAAAGACCCGGAAGACCACGGAAAAACAACTGTGGTGGATGACCGAAGAATTCTCTCCCTGGTGAAGAAAACACCCTTCACAACAGTTGGCCAGATCAAGAACACGCTCCAGGAGGTAGGTGTATGTGTGTCAAAGTCAACAATCAAGAGAAGACTTCACCAGAGTGAATACAGAGGGTTCACCACAAGATGGAAACCATTAGTGAGCCTCAAAAAAAAGGAAGGCCAGATTAGAGTTTGCCAAACGAAATCTAAAAAAGCCTTCACAGTTCTGGAACAACATCCTATGGACAGATGAGACCGAGATCAACTTGTACCAGAGTGATGGGAAGAGAAGAGTATGGAGAAGGAAAGGAACTGCTCATGATCCTAAGCATACCACCTCATCAGTGAAGCATGGTGGTGGTAGTGTCATGGCGTGGGCATGTATGGCTGCCAATGGAACTGGTTGTCTTGTATTTATTGATGATGTGACTGCTGACAAAAGCAGCCGGATGAATTCTGAAGTGTTTCGGGAATATTATCTGCTCATATTCAGCCAAATGCTTCACAACTCATTGGACGCCGCTTCACAGTGCAGATGGACAATGACCCAAAGCATACTGTAAAAGCAACCAAAGAGTTTTTTAAGGGAAAGAAGTGGAATGTTATGCAATGGCCAAGTCAATCACCTGACCTGAATCCGATTGAGCATGCATTTCACTTGCTGAAGACAAAACTGAAGGGAAAATGCCCCAAGAACAAGCAGGAACTGAAGACAGTTGCAGTAGAGGCCTGGCAGAGCATCACCAGGGATGAAACCCAGCGTCTGGTGATGTCTATGCGTTCCAGACTTCAGGCTGTAATTGACTGCAAAGGATTTGCAACCAAATATTAAAAAGTGAAAGCTTGATTTATGATTATTATTCTGTCCCATTACTTTTGGTCCCTTAACAAGTGGGAGGCACATATGCAAACGGTTGTAATTCCTACACCGTTCACCTGATTTGGATGTAAATACCCTCAAATTAAAGCTGACAGTCTGCAGTTAAAGCACATTTTGTTTGTTTCATTTCAAATCCATTGTGGTGGTGTATAGAGCCAAAAATGTTAGAATTGTGTCGATGTCCCAATATTTATGGACCTGACTGTATCTCTTCAGGGAAGCCTATCTTGCCTTCAGCTAATAACCAGATCTTCTATTTCTCCCATCAGTTCATCCCTCACAGTTATCACAGTTATTACCTTTTGTTTCACAAGCCCCTCCATATTAGATTGTAATCTCCTAGGAGAAGGGTCC